GGAAGGACGTCTCGCCGCTCGAGCGACCCGCAGCTCCTCAGAGGCCCGCGAGGGGAAGGCAGGGCCGCGGGCAGACGCCCATTTTGAGGAAATCTGCTCTGGCACAGCTTCCCGATCTTCTCTTCGGGTCACCCAAAGGTGCATTTTTCTTTAAAAAACACACTTTGAACCCCCCCCCCCGAAGCTCATGGGGGCAAAGCAATCATCTCCCACCCAGACAGGGACGCGGGACAGACACCCAGAGCTTCTTACCTACGAGACGCGGCCCAGGCCTGCAACAACAACCGTTAGTACCGCTCGGGAGTTAGAAGGCAGAGGGAATCCATCCGTCATTTCCAACCTCTTGGCCAAAGCACACCTATAGCGGCTCCCAGGGAGGGACGCTGCCCCGTCGCTCGCACGAAAGGGAAGCGCTCTGCAGAACCGGCCGAGGACTCGGGGTCCGCTTTTGTGCCGTGAAGTTTTGGCTTCGTGTTCGTGCCCCCAACGGGCTCGGCGTTGGGCCGCAACCCTCCCAAGCAGGGCTCTTCCATCCCCGCTGCCCTGCCCGCTCCGGGCTTCTCTGCTGGGCGGTGAAGCCGGCTGGACCTCGGCCTCGGAGCCCGCCGGCGGGGGAGTAGCGGGGAAGATGAGTCTGCAGGGGCGCTCCACGAAGCGGGAGCAAAAAATCCAGGCGAGTTTCTAAAAATGCCTCGGAAGACTCCGGCAAAAGAGGAAGGTCAGAGGTTGCCGCGGCATTTGTAATGCTGACACGGCCCCTGTTTTGAATACGCCCACCGCATCCGCTGAAGATGCTTTCCTTTCTTAGCCAGCTTAGCGATTTGCAAGGACCAACTACGAGGGCGTTTGAACGCGTGGATGAAAGGAGGTTCGAGCCATTCCCTTGGCTTTGGCTCCGCCGACTGAACAGCGGCCTCCTCTTTATCCCCAATCTGATGCTCGTATTATGAGAAACCACCGAGCAGCCGGGACTTGGCGCCGGCCGCGGTTCTTAAAGACGTTTCACACAATACGGTGAGTCGGGCGTTTCACAAACACGGGGTTTTCAACCCAACCCGTTTCCAAACGAGCGGCCAAAAGCTCGCGGCACAGCAGCCGGGAGGGAACGGGAACCGTGAAGGCTCGCCGCTCCGCACGTCTCCTGCCCCGTTTTCAAGGGGACCCCACAGAACTGGGTGCCAAAATGAGAAAAAAGGGAGGGAAATCCCAAGAGAAAAGAGCGCCCATCCAAGCCGCGCGCCCGTGCGTTGGAGGAATGGCCACGCCGCAGCGACTATACGATGCAAGATGGCCAAGACGCGGAAATCGGAGTGGAACCGGCATCTAGCGCAGAAGGGCAGCGGTTTACCTACGGACTAGCCCTTACCTGAGAGATCCCCATAGTCCAGCTCCTCTGCCGAATTGGGCAACTGAGTAAAGCCTTACAAGTAAAAACAAACTCATTTTTCTCTGCGTTTCTTGAGTGACAAACAACAACACACTTAAGGACCGAGGGTGAATTTCTCGGGGGGGACGGGGGGACACACCAATGCGTCAATCACTCGCCACCTTCTGCCGCGCGGGCAGAGGAACTCGTACGACAGAGTTGCAACCATTGCCTTGACGGTGGACAGAAACATTCCTCGGTCTACACTGTTGGCACACGGAACATGGAATCAAGGCCACTCATTCATAACAGCATGCAAAGACCCCCAAACGTCGTCTTTTAGTCACCACGGGGGCCAAGTTCCCAATTTAGTCCTGGGGGATTTGGGTTCCGCATACCCATAGCAATGACAAATTGTCGGCCAATTTTGCCCCAAATTCAAATCTTTGTTTGGTCACGTTGACGAGCCCGGCAATTTATCCGTTAGCGGATGCCGCGGCTCGCATGCCCGGACTCCAAGGCGCCTGTACGTGCAGACTGCGGCAGAAAAATGGGACAAACCCTCTTTTTTTTCGTTTTCCCCAATTGGATGCGTTTATAGAAAAGGCATCTGTCCTCAAAGCTGATAAAGCAGCTGGGCGAGACGCGCTCTCGTGGCCGCACAAGGCAGAGAGCGCCGTCCGCGAAGCCGTGATCTTCCATTTGGCTCGCGAAAATGTTGGGGGGGCCGCGGGAGGAGGAAGCACGCGGCTGAGCGGGCGTCTCCGCGCGGGGCAAACCCGTGCCCGGGGGCCACAGGGGTCTCTTTAAACGGGGGACAGCACAGCCCTACTACCGAAGGCTGGCACTTGCGATGACTTGCTCTCGCTGCCGGGTGGTAAAGCAAGCGCGTTAGCCAATTAAAAAGAAATAAAAAAAGGTTTCCCGTGAGGAGACCCCAGCGCCGGGGCATCGTCCGCTTGGGGGCTGCTCGCCGCGCTGGCTTGCTTTTCAACAGCAAAGGCGGTGCCGCGGGCCAGGCGAGGGGCAGGGCGTCCCCCAGGGGAAAGCAGCACGCGATGCGGACACGGAGCTCGTGGAAACACAACTCGTTTTCAGGGACTGACTCTGCAATACATCAGGTCACCTGGAAGCTACAGCCGGAGTTCTCTTCTGAAGCAGGAGGCCGTTGTGATCAATAGCAAGAATTTTGTTTGCGTGCCGCTCTCGGGCTTCAGCGAGCCCCCCTTTACTATCATACGACACATAAATATAATTACAGCCGCCCCACAGAAGCGTCGGGCGCGGGAACCCGGGCTCGAAGCGGAGCCGTTCAACTTTTCTCTCCCCAACATCGCTTCTGTAGGGGCTTCCCTCACTCGAAAGGAACTGCATTTGCTCAACAACGCAAACGGGCAGCGCTGTGTTTCTGATGAAGCAAAAAGGGCTTTTTCAGACCAGAATTTCCCAATTCAACCATTCCGTTTCTACCTGCACTTGCTGGATGTGAAGTGCCACCGAACGGCACGAAACCCTGTCATGAGGCATTTCAAATAGGTGGAAAATCGCCTCTTGACTCTTCTCATTAAACCGTCATCCCGGCTACTAAAGCCCCTTCTTTTCCCCGGTCTGCCGCCGCTCTGGTCCGGCGGATGAGAGCAAACCTTCCTCCCGCCGCCCCCGGCCCCCGCCGGCCACCACGCCGGCGCGCCGGTTACGTAGGGGCTTCTATCGACAGGGCACGGCGTGCACCGCTTCCTACGCTGCCTCCAGTTTGGATGGCAAAGACAGCGTCTCTTTGGCTGCGCGTAACCAGTTCGGGATTCCGTTTCATGCCGCGCGCTCCGCACGGGAACCTGAGCGTGCGCCGAGGGCTTTGCGATGCTTTATTCAATCCCCCCCGGACCGGAGCTGTAAAACACACTCAGGGGTGTATTTGTGCTTAGTCGCGCTTTCCAGGAGGGCGTTTCCAGAGGGAAAAAGGCCGCTGGGCAGGCAGAGCCGCTTGATAACGTTAATGCAGAAAGCGGCGAGGCTTTTTCCTCGCCCGCTGTCGCGCTGGTGGGATCCGCGAGCCGACCGGCGCTCTGGCACGGCTGAGCTTCCGGCTTCGGGCAAGCCAAGCTCAGTTCCAGAGACTGGGCGCGAGCCTAACGCAGCCGTGGCGGCCGCTCTCGTCCAAAGCCCGGCTAGGGCCGCAGTTAAAGATGCGCATGGGCCTGCGGGGAAGGGTTTCCAGCTTATAAAAGAAGTTACCTGCTGTATTATGGGCAAGGTATTTTCTCGTCACTCTTCGTTCGCGACCGGGACGTTCTCGTTATTTTAACCTTCGCTCCGGGCTTCCTGCTTTGCCAGCTTCAGAAGAGACTTTTTTTCACCCTACCTTTTCACGACGATGAGCCGAAATTCTGCCTGTGCTGAGGCAGCGGCGCCGTGCTTCTGCCTCGGGGGGGGGGGGGGG